TGCGGCACCGGCCCCGTTGATGACACCTCATCTTTGTTCTTCTGGGATATTTCTCGTTTGAGCTCCGAGCGCAGGTCCAGGTAGCAGAAGAGCGTGACGAGGTGCAGAGAGAGCGAGAGAATGAATAAACTCAGGAAGATTTTGCAGTTGTTGCATTGGCTTTGGCACTCACACGCCGCCTGCGTGCGCTTGCGCTCCTCCGACTTCGCCGGCTCGCGCTTCGGTACCATGGCTGCGTGCAGGTCAGTCAGCATTGCTTCTGCATACCGAACTTCCTCGTCCTCTCAGCGACTTTTGGCTTGGGCTGGTCGCGGTGAGCAAGCGCTTCTCTGCGGGCTCATCTGGCTTCCTGACCTCGGACTGCGAGGATTCAGGCTGATAACCTACTACGGCCAGCTCCAGAGACCGACCCCTAGCAGCTGATTGGCTGCCGGCGTGACGTCACCTCATTGAAAATCATCCCGCGGAAAAGCGCGACGCCACTATGACATTCATCAAGACGCAAACAAATATAAATCACTGTAGCGCTAACAATAGCATCAGACGTGCGCTGCCGATTACACAATATTTCCCATTTCGTAACCCCTGAAAGGAACCGCCTGTAAAAAAAAAAGTTAGCTGGTGAAGTCAAGAGAGTTTCCCAATTCGTTTTGTTGTGTCTCCACATAAGGGGTTTTTCAAACTTCACACACCTAGTGCATACTTACATTTTAAATAACTGGCATCATTAGGCTACATTATATAGGCTAATTCTTTAAAAAAATCATTTGTTATTATAAAAATATCTTGAAACTCCTGTCTGGAGATCCATAAGAGACCCACAATGACCCCTAGAAAACCCTGGATCTAAAAAAAAAAAAAAACTTTCTTGTCAAACTTTCCCTAGCCACATGTTTGTACATTAGGCGTATTCAGTGTGTGCATGTGTAAGCGTCCAAGTGTGTGAAGTTCCACATCTTTAAAGTGTTAGAACAGATGACTGGTAGTGTAATTGTGGCATATGTTGAGAATCAGAGCAGACTGAGTGTTAAAAGCGGGACAGGACTGCCAATCAAATAAAAACATCAAATGACACACATGCACAAAAACACACATGTTGTTTTTCAAACAACAAAATCATACACATACATGCTCTCCAGCTTACACGCATTTATTATACTTGTCAAGCGCCAAAGCACACGCCATATTACTTGAACTCAAAAATACACAGTTATTTATTACTATGACAAAACTCGTCTGCTGCATGTTGTGTGAGGCGAGAACGAGAGGTTTCTATGGAAAACACTAATTTGGTCAACTTTCTTTCTCTGGCAGTTTTTGCAGACCCGTCACTCCCATCCAATATTGTGGAAAAAAAAACGGTGAAAGGAGGAAAATTGATAGAAACTGGTAGAAAAAGGAGAATTAAAGGCAGGATGGCAGGATGGATAACTTTGTAGCTTTCGTTAATTTTTTTTTACTAGCAGTAGGCTATCATAACCTGAGTCAGCATTATTGCATACTAGGATTGTATACAATAGAGCTCAGTGTGTAATTCAGAAATAGAAATCTAGCCCAAGAAGTTTTGGTTATGCTATCTGACCCCTCTCTTCTTCTCTTCCTCTGTTCTCGCTCCACTCACAGCTGTGCTCTGTGTACTGCAGATCTTCTGTGACCTCATAAAGCTGAGCCTCTTTAATATGGTTTGATATTAAATCTGTGCCGCTTTTATTTGGCTCCAGACTCTTTAATCTTAAATCACTTAAATATTCACAGCTACACTGCTGCTGAATCGATTCAGCGCCACACACACATGCACACGGTCTAGCTGTCTCACACGAAGGCGATGTCCTCTGACAATTCATGATGGATCTCTAAACGCAGACATTACTAAATAATGTAATAAAAGCATCATTACAATAGCTCAACCCACCCAGAAAGTCTGGAATGAGTTCTAAAAACACGCACGCAAACGCATTTACGCACACGCATAAACAAACAAGCGCACGCGAACGCGCAGCAAAAACATTGGCCAAAAACACTCGAAGGCGCACACAAACACACAAATGCACTAAACCAAAAAAGCAAAGCTGCGGGTTGAATATACAGGTATGGGTCTGAGAACCCTTGGGCAGTTGAAATGAAATTATACAAATTAACTTAACAGAGAATCCAGCCCATGAGCCCAGAGAGGCTGGAATCAGAGTGCTAAGAGTTTAAGAAAACAGTAATTACACACACACACACACACACACACACACACACACACAATTGTTTTTTATGCTTTATGAGGACTCTCCATAGGCGTAATGGTTTTTATATTGTACATACCGTATTTTCTATCGCCCTACCAACCCTACACCTAAACCTACCCCTCACAAGAAACGTTGTGCATTTTTAGATTTTCAAAAAAACTCATTCTGAATGATTTATAAGCCTTTTGAATTACGGGGACACTGAAAATGTCCTCATAAATCACCTTCTCGTTGTAATACCTATGTCATACCCATGTTATTATACAAATGTCCTCATACACCACATAAGCATGGACACACACACACACACACACACACACACACACACACACACACA